TCCCCCACCATCCCCCACCATCCCCCTCTACTATTATTTACGAGGACGAGGTCCGGTATGCTCTGTCATTGTCAGGTCGATAATATTACTATTACTAGCTTCTTTGACGCAAAGACTTCCTTTAGACACAAAAAAGAGCCCTTCACTTAGCACATTTAAAAAAAGTTCTGTTAAAAATACAATTTTAATAGCATATAGCAGATAGGAGAACAATAAATCTAATATGATGTATTCTAAATGAATATATGTAATGTATTCAGGAGCTTATAAATGGAATTCCATTTATAAGCTCCTGATGTATTGAATTTGTATATATGTGTGTGTGAGTGCGTGCGTGTGTGTGTACAGAATGTACAGTCATTTTTGTATTTTTTCTTCTTCATATAGTTTTTGTTCATGCATTGTTTTGTACTGTATCACTCAGAAATGTTATTATTTTTACTGCTCAACACTATTGCATCTATCAGATTTTTTCTCCATGAAAAAGACCGTCTTCAGTACATGCACTTGTATTTCACATACATGCCAAAAAGATTTAACAATAAAAAAATGAGAAAAAATCTTTACGTCTTTTCTCTCTCTCGTTGCATTCAGTAGGTGCTAACAGTCGTGGTAAACAGTTCGCACGATCGCCATGGCGTCTACTGTCAAGTACGCTCCGCTGCGGTCGTCGTCGGAAGTGGAGGTCGACCAGTGCTCCCTCAAGGTGAAGGGACCGTCGAGTTACCACACGCAGCTGAAGCCGCGTAGCAGCAGTAGCTGGAGCCTGTTCAGAGTGCTGGCGCTGTTGCTCACGATCACCGGTGTCGTCGTGCTCTGTGTACAGTTCAACCTCCTCTGGTACATGACTAACTTCCTCCGTGGCGCGACGACGGGCAACGACCCGGACGACCTCCACGCCGGGAAGATCGACTTCTTTAGTTGGATGACGAGCGACGCGAAGGAGGGGGACGAACGCACGCCGCCCGTCTGCCCGTGGGTTCCCGCGACGCTCAAGTTCGACTGTTACCCCGAGGGAGGCGTCACGCAGGAGAAGTGCGAGACGCGCGGCTGCTGCTGGGTGATACCAGATGGCGCTGCAGGCAACGAGAAGCCGGCGGAGAACGGTTCGCATTGGAAGGTTCCGCTGGCTGAACCGTACTGCTACTATCCGGAGGATTACCCGTCGTATTCGATGAGCGATGTTCGTGAGACGGCGACGGGATACGAAGCCAAACTCGTGCGTGGCGTGCCGTCGTACTACCCCGACGACATCCTCAGCCTCAAGCTGCAAGTGAAGCTGGAATCACGCACGCGACTGCACTTCAAGGTTTGTCGTCCCCCGTTCGTCGGAAAGAGAATTAGTCTTAAAATGTGGTCTTGAAATTGTTCTTTTTTCGAAGAGCAACACACTCTCTACACACACACTGTGTTTATGAGACTCCAAACTTTACTATGTTTCTGTCAACGGTAAATAAGTAAATGTTAATACGAATTTTGTTGCTAACAAGGGGGTCCTTGATGTTTTATACTTTGTGTTTATCGACCTTGTTTTTACCCCAGCGCAACTTGTGTGTTGCATTTCCTGCAACCAACAGTAATGCGTTCGTGTGTTCATATGTACATTATGTCAGGCTATACATTTACCGGACCAGTACAAGTTTTTTTTTGCGTTCCTGGGTTACACGAAACTCTCATCTTTTTGCAGATTTTCGATCCGAAGCAAAAGAGATATGAGGTGCCGATCGAGACGCCTGATGTTAGCAGTAAGGCAGATGTAACGGATTATGCAGTAAATTTCACGGCTAACCCCTTTAGCATCATCGTTACGAGAAAGACTACTGGTGCTACACTGTGAGTAATGTATTAATTAACACATTTTTTTGAATTTGTGTTTTTATATTTTTCCATTGCTCTTTTCTACGTGTTATATTGCTGTGTGTGTGTTTCTGTCTTTCTCTCCCTTTCTCCCTTCCTCCCTCTATCTGGCCCTCCCTCACTCTGCTATCTCTTTCCTCCCTCCTTTCCCATTGCTCTCTGCCTCTTTCCCTCCCCCTCTCTCTCTCTTCCTCTCTCTTCTCCTTCCCTCTATTTCTTTGTCACTTATAACGTGTCAGCATGTGCATATCTGTGTGGTTGACAAAGGAAGTCAATGGCAAGGTATTTGAACAGGAGGGAGAAACAAACAAAGAAGGCAATGGGCAAAATCGCTTGCAGCTAGTATAATGATATTTTTTTGATAATAACTTTATAGCTGGTATGTGCAACACATAGTGTGAATGTGCAAACACTCTTATAACAGTATATTAGAGTATATTACGCAGAGTGATCACTTGTGCACTTGTGGTCAGTGCAAATATTCAAGTGAGTGTCTTATATTCAATCGCCAATATGTGGGTCAAGTTGACGGCCTAGTAATTATAGTATGACTGGCTGTAGCATTGACAGAACGTGGCAACCATAGATAGCATCAGCGTTGAATCTGTGGCATTATATATCTCATTATCTGCCACGTGGATCTGTATAGCAATACTAAGGCTGAAGGGGTCGTTGTCGTATCAGGTACTATATATATGTACCCGAGGTACATATATGTATACACAAAGTGTACCAGACTTGTACTACAGAAGTGTACCCTAACCCTAACCCTAACCCTAACCCTAAACATACCTCATATAAAAATATAAACATAATACTAAACAACCTAAAACTACCTCGGGTACATATATGTAGTACCTGATACGACAACGACCCTTCGTGCAATACTAAGCTCTTAAGTGCTCTCGTCTCTTGCTAGACATATATGAACAAGAAATGTTTTCTCGTGCTGAAAGCTTTGGCTGTTCCCTTTAGATTTGTGACGATGAGTATGGTACAAGCTTACCGTGGGGAATGAGCCCCGGGCATTGGCTGACTCATGAGCTTATAGTGAGCACACGCATCATGCAGGGGTAGAAATGAACTTTTGAAGAAGGGAGTCCAACGGACTCTCTGCCCTCAAAAAGAGGGAGTCCGCAGCAAAATGAGGGAGTCCATAGTCTGAAGTTCAAAATTAAAGATTTTCTGAAAAAATAGGTAATTCCGCGAGGCCGTGCTCTGGAACGAACTAGTTAGTATAGCAGAATTTTCAGTGAGTCGCACGGACTCTTGCATATGTCAAAGCAGGGAGTCCGACAGTAAATCAGGGAGTATTTGACTCCGGATTCGCGTTAATTTCGCACCCTGCACATCTGTGTTATGCGACAGTGGTGTCTATTGGCTGGTCAGGGTGTAATAGGGTTGCTAAAAGTAGCTTTTCTCCTACTGTGCTTGTACCGTACATACTAGGTTTCCACAGAGAGAAGTACAAAGTCTGAAAGTGAATGATTAGAATGATTTTCATTCAGCTGGTGGTGGCGCCATAAACATGATTTTCTATGAGATAAGGTTTTGCTCTATGTATCTACTAGCCAGGAGTCTGGGAGTCATTGACACGTATCAAAGTGGGCAAAGTGCGTAATCTCTGACACATGTGCACGAGAAAAAAATGCACAAGAAAAAAATCCCGCATCTTAACGACTTACATCAGCACGACCTGTGTGCTACTGCTGATGCTGCTACTGCTGCCTCGTACTTGCTGCTGCTGCCTGGCTGCTACTGTGTTACTGCCACTGCTAATACTACATGCTGCTACGCTTGCTGCTACTGCTGATACTACTACTGTTACTGCTGCCTGCTGCCCTAACTGCTGTTGCTGCTGCTGCTGATAACTACTGCTCGCTACTGCTGTTGCTGCTGCTAAAGCTGCTGACTGCTGCTGCTTTCTGGCTGTGCTGCTGCTGTTGCGCTGCTGCTACTGCTGCTGCTCTGCTGCTGCCATACTGCTTGCCACGCGAAATAAACCGGGGAGACCCATAGCCACCAGGCGATTTGTTCGCCGGCTCGCAGACGACGGTGATGACGCGGGCGCCGGCTGCGCCCCTACTGTGGGAATTGGTCTCGCGACCACATGGCGACGCGTGTGTAGTGGGTTTTGATGCGGAGACTGCCTGTGCGCTCGCCCAGCCCGTAGACGTCGTGTGAGGGAAGCATGGAGCTCAGCTGCAGAAACTGATCAGCGAAGATCAATGTGGGGACGCGCGTGTCAAACCTGCCGGGCGGCGGGGCGAAACAATGAATAACAATAACAATTAAATACAATAACATTGAACAATAACAATAATTACCTTCGTGTATTTTTTCTTGTGCATTTTTTTCTCGTTCACATGTGTCAGAGATTACGCACTTTGCCCACTTTG